CGAAGGCGGGGCGAGGGGACGAGGCTCCTAAGGAAGGGCGCCGAGACTGGACCCGACCGGGCCGGCAAGGACCGGGTAGCGTAGGTCAGGGCCGTAGCCGCACCGCGCGAGACCCTAGGTCGGGTCGGGCCGGGCCGGCAGAGCGGCACCCAGGGCCCCTGACGCGCTCGCGTAGGCCGGCCCGCGGTACGCTCAGGCGCGCCGGGGAGGCCTGCCTCCCAGGGGAGCTCCCTCCGCGCCAGTCCTTCGGGTCGGCCCGGACGGGAACCTCCACGTCTGAATTTGGACACACCGCCCGGGGCCGAAGTAAAGCGAAGCCAGAAATCGTGCTGCTGGGCATCGGTGATTTTAAGCATCGGATGGACTATACCGCAAACATGCAAAAGCACAACAACAACAACAACAACAACAACAACAACAAAAACTGTTTCTCCACGGTTTTCCCCGCAAGAAGCAGCCGTGCATACCGTAACACAATCAACCTCGTAAATTATACACCTACCACCCCCCCCCGAAATGTTCCGATGTTATTTTGATTTTGCGGGTTTGGAGAGCGAGCCGGGCCGGTGACCCGGGGGGCCGCTAGCGGGGCCGCCCCCGCCCCGGCCGGGCTCCGGCGGCTCCACAGCGGCTTCAGCACGGCTCCAGCACGGCTCCAGCACGGCTCCAGCTGGGCGAGGCTCCTCCTGTGGCTTGTGGCTCTCCCTCCACCCGCCGACCTGGAACCTGTTCCACGGCTCCTGCGGGATCCAGGGTCCCTAGGGGTTGCCAGCTCCGATCGCGCGGACGCGTTGCGACGTTCCAACTGCGGCGTGTGGCGTGTGCGGCGGGGTAGTGCGATGTAAGAAAACTGTTGAAAAGAAGACGAAAAATAACACCGGCGTGCTCAATTTTTTCGCAGGTCCAGGGCCACTCAACGACGTAGATGTTAGCCCTCGTGGCGTTAAAGCTTTCTTCAGAGCAACGTTTTGTGCATCACTCTGCAACATACCGCCCCTCTCCCCTCCTCCTTTTTGCACGACTTACGGCCGGTCCCCTTCATCTGCCGCCCCGACGGTGGGCCGCGCCCGGTCCTGCCCGGCCAGGGCATAAAGCGAACACGTCCCCGACGGTCCCGGGTCCCTGCTGGACTCGGGCCCCCCTGTACTGGCCACAGGCGGGCCACGCCTGGGCCACAGGGGATCTAAACCACAGTATTTATTGCGCGGGGGGAGAGAGCCCCCTGCCATCCGGCGGCGGGGACGACGAGACGAGCGCTCTCAGCAAAGGGGCTTGTGTGTCCAAGTACAGACCGCCGCAGAACAAAACTGACGGAATATATACATTCTCGTGATCGCGTTTGCTCGCGACGATCGGCGGGTTGGCGAGTCTAGCGGACGGGCATTCGCGGACGGCACCGGCTGGAGCGGTTGCTGAAGCACGGCGATGCTGGAGTATGTTGGAGCGCCAGGTGAGGCGGGACGTGGCGGGGCGGGGCAAAGTGATGAGGGCGATGCCTGATGGCGATGCCTCGGCAGTCGTCGCGACGCTCAGCTCAGCCGGCTCTGCTGCGATGCGGTCATGAACTTGAACTGCCGACGCGACGGGGGCCGGTCGACCTTCAACTGGTGCAACGCGAGCGGGACGTGGCGCGGTGTGGTAGGGCGGGGCGGTAGCCGGTAGCGGGGTGGGGCGACAGGAGCGGGAGGGCCAGGATAACACTCTGAGGCGCCATCCAGACACTAAAGGCAGTGACTGAAATCCTCAAGAGGATGTGTCCAAGTTTGTAATGTCGGTGATTATTCCAGGGACCAGTTTAACATCGTCAGACTCTCCGTGCCTCGCCCCCTCCCTCCCTCCATAACCCACCCCCCTCTCGTACATAACCGAAGGATACCCAGCCGCCCAGCCTGCAGAACAGGGTCATAACTGTACCTCCCCTCCTGCTCGGGGGCCTGCTGGAACCCCCCACGCCAAACGAAAACATGTCAACCTCCCGAGCTCCAGCGCTGGCGAGCTGGCGCAGCACCACCGACCCCCCGAGAGCGAAGCCGCGCCCTGAGCCGTTACTGATAAGAGCTGAATAGGGCAGCGCCAACGCCTTGAATGCGGACTGGGCCCATTTTTTTTTTTGCGGGGTACGCGCTCCTTCGGAGTATAAATACATGGCTCCTGCAAAGAAGCGGGCGTTTGGTGATTGACCCGCCGTGGGTCGGGTCTCGCACAGCAGACAGCCCCCCACCGGCATTTTGGAGATTTGTAAGAGAGAAGAAATGGGCAGAAGACCCGGGGGGACGGGGGGGGGGGGGGACAAGCTGGGCGTCGCAAACAAGGTACACTCAGCCAAAAGAACAAGCGGTAGAAGGCGGCACCGAGCCGAGATGGCCGTTACCACCATTTCTCAAATGATGCAACCGTCCGAAAAAATTACCAAGATTTTCACAGGGCGGATAATGTGTGATGGCCACTTGTCGGGGGAGGGGGGGGGGTTGCTATTGTAGGTACTTTTGTGGGGTGGAGGGAGTAAGAAGAAAGAGGCTGGAGCTGCCGGCGACGGGGGCTGGCCTATGAATCAAACTCGCAAGCAGTGTGTTCTGGGAAGACAACGACTTTCGCCTCAAAGTGCCCCGCCCCGACCCGCCGCATTCGCTTTGAGCCCAAAGCCAGCTTGCGCGATGGACCAACATCGCTCACTCCCCAACCCCGACCCCGTTACCCCATTTTTCCCGCAGCCCACCCACCCGCACAACCGGCGGGTGGGAAGCCCGCGCGGTCCCCGGCGAGGGCCACCACCCGGACAGGTGCACCTGGGCTGCACGTGCGGAGGGAGACGTACAGCATGGACAACCCCTGCGAGAGAGAGGAGACGGAGCTATGTGACCCCAGGGGGCTACTGGCTGAGGCTGGACTGATGCTGGACCAGTCCGAAAACTCTCCACGGCATCTCTGGACCCCGTGACAACAGCAGGCGGGAAAACTAGGCCGAGTCCCTGGTCGGGCGTGCAGGACTGGGCGAGGAGGAGCCAGAGGGTGGCGCTCGCGATATGCCACGCCACGCCACGCCGCACGGGTTAGGATTAGGCGCTCTTGATCGTAGTATGTTAGTGGTCTGCAAATGATCGGTCGAATTCGGAGTCGGAGACGCGCAACCAGTTCTGAGACCAAACTGGGGCGAGTTGAAATGGAGGAATCAAAGATACGCGCGAAATTAATGAAACGATAAGATGAAAACAGCCGCGAGGTACAACGCGATTGTTTTTGGAGCAGTGTAGCTATTAGGGCGTTTCTTTCGTCGCCGTCGCGGCGTCCATTGTTTGGGGCGACGACACCAGTCAGTGGGCCGAGTGTCTGTGACGCGTGAGGCGTGGACCAGGGCCCGGGGAGGGGAAGGGGGTCGATTCTCCAAGACTTGGCTCATGTGTGTGTACGAATTCTTAGATGGCCGGTCGTAAACTTTCACCTGACTCACATGTGTCAGGGCGGAAACGCCACCGGCGGCAGGCGTCGGGGCCGCGCGGTGCAAAAGTTCCGGGCGGCTGTTGGTTGTTGTGCTTCGTGTGGGCGACGTCGTCGAACTCCCGGAGATGACCGCCCCTCGTCACGGAGACTTTAACGCCGGAGGAGCACGAGTAGCACGAGGGAGTGGAGGCGGAGGAGCAGGGGGCGCGCAAAGACGATCGCCGGGCTGGGCTGGGCTCGGAGTTTGGCGTGAGGAGTGAGGTCTGTGGCCCCGAGTCCAAGTGCCCACGCCCCGCCCCGCCTCGCCACATCGTCGCTCTGCTACGACGGCGGACGGACACTCTTTGTGACGCGCTCCAAAACCAGATTTCGCCGAATTAATTAAACGTGTTTTGCGCATCGCACTACCCATCTCTCTCTCTCCCTCTCTCGGTTTTTCTCCCCGGCCCCTACCCTCCCGCTCTCTTTCTCTCCCGATCTCCTTCTTTCTCTCTCTCCCGCTTTTGCCACACGCTCACGCATTCGCTCGATGCTGCTAAACTCGCGAATGGAGCAGTAGTCGAGCAGAAGGCTTGATCTAACGGTGTCCCGCTGCCGGCGATCTAACCACGGGAGCATTTGAGGCTACGGCGGCGCCACGCCACCACACCACCCCACGCCACCCCACTCCACGACTCCCCATACTACTCCACGCCGTGGAAACTGCCCACTCGCCCACCCTTATTTTTCCCACCTCGGGCATCCTAAAAAAACTACAATACATACGGCTAATATACTGTCGAGAATACCTGCGAAACAGCGGTTGAACGCTCTGACCGGCCCTTTGTGTGCTGAGGGACGCGGGGCGGCGGGAGGAGGCGAAACAGGAGCAGCAGATGAGCAGACTGGTGCTTGCTTTTACCCCTTCCCCTCCCATTCCCCCCTTCGCCTCCCCCTCGTACCCGGACTCTTGCCATTCCGCCCCACTCCGGCCACGCCTTCGCCCC